GCCTTCTTTTAGAGAAGGCTGTTTCTTTCAGATAAAAGGAAAAATCGTGTCTCAGTGAAGAAAACCAAGAATGGGCTAAACGAGTGAACTGGAGTTACAAACAACAGCTGCCAGGAATCTTGAACACGAAGGAGAGGAAAAATGAAGCCGAGAGGAAATCAAGCTCCCTGTGGTTCCGTCTGGCAGGAGCAGGAGGAGGAACGGCTGCATGGAGGAGGGGGTGGCTTTGCAAACTGGCCCCCATGCAGAAAAAGACCTCATTCTTTCAGGAGCTCAAAAGGGGGCGAAAGGCAGCAGCAGTCTTAGAGTGGAGGCCGGAAAGTGTGAGCAACGTTAGAGGAATCCTAGCTCTGCGGAGGACCTGACACAGGCCAGAAAGGGGCGTAGAGCACAGAACATCTGGAAGTTTGGGCTTCAGGCCTGGGCCAAGGTGCCTGCGCTGTACAACATGATGTGTGTGCTGGACTGGGCTGGGCGAACTGCAGAGCTGAGGCGGAGGGTCTGGGCCCCAGTGCCTTTGGTTCACAAATCCTCCTTTCTCCCCTGGAACTCTTTAGGATGGTGTGAAAAAAAAGGTGAATGGTGATGAGCTTCACTGAGCAACAGGATGGGAGACCTGGCTGGGAGGAGAGGCTGCATCTCATGCTGTCACTCGGAGACCACAAGATGCCGGGACCAGGGGAGAGTCAACGCCCCCCGCCCCGGAACAGCAGGCTCGCGCTGGTTGGCGGGGCCTCTTGCGGAATTCAGTTCTTGGCCAGAAGTCCCTGCCGTAGACCTCAGGAGATCTGAGGAAGGCTCAGTAAACCTGGCGGCTGCTCTTCAGGTTTGGCAAACTCGAGATTTTTCCAGTGCCTTGCGTTCAGCAAAACTGAAAATGTGTTTGGCTAGAAACCCTCCTCTAATTTTTTTTTTTTTTTTGGTAAATTTGATCCACATGCTTTTGATTTATTTTTATTTAACTCATCACGTCAGATTAGGAGCTACAATGATGAAGGGAACAGTGCTGATTTCCAAGAAGGTTTTTTAGCCTCTTTTCTTAGAACTAAATCACCTCTCCCCCCACCCCACCGTTTCAGCCACCAGACTGAGCTGGGTTTGTAATTTAGAACCCAAATGTGAAAGGGACCCATGCTTGGCAAAGACGAAGCACAGCGCAGGAATGCTCTTAGGAAGTCACAGTCAGAAAGCCGGGGAAGGGTGGGGCTGGGCGATGAAGACAGGAAGGGAGTCCGCTGTTCTTCACTGGATGGTTTAAATCCATTTACTTGGCTTCCTGGGCTCCCAACAGAAGCCCTAGCTGTTTCTCTAGAGACCGACTTTAATACTGCCCCTCAGGGAAAGGAGCTCCTGTCCCCAGAATGGGGGTGAGGGTCTCCTGTACTCATCTTTTCTCTACACTCCTCCAGGTAGCCAATCCAAGGGGCTCCTCCTCTTCCCTCTCATCTCCCTCTGCCTTTCCTGGCTCTGCCTAAGGCCGCTCCATCTGGAAGCATTTAAAATGTACAACAATTTTAATCTCGTGCAAAGGAATATTGGGATCTATACAACATACCCATTAAGCTAAATTATAGGTACACAATCTTATTTTGCACAATTCTGTCTGGCCTAGGGTGGCACACACTGAACGCCATTACTGCCTTTCCCAATTACTTTTTCTACTACATCATCATCTAATCTTCTCCTACAACTTAAGTCTGAGGCCGCAGTATTTCTCTGAAAAACTGGACACTGAGGTCCCAAGACCAAGGTCTCTCTTCAGAGCCCCTCGAACCAGCACTCGGTGGGTCCCTTGGCCACTATCCAAAGAAATATCCTTGAGCTCGGCTTCTCTCCCCTATGCGCACTGATTGAATTGGACAGACCTTGGTATAAATACCATCTTGCCACTTAATAACTGTACACTGTTGGGGGACTTATTTCACTTCCCTGGGTCTCAATTTCCCATTCTATAAAAGGGGTGTAATAATCACATGTAGTTCACAGAGCTGTGAGGATTAAATGAGATACTGCATATATAAAATAAATAAAGTATGTTGTCTGGTCCAGACTGAGTAGTTAACAAATGTGACCTGTTATTATTATTATTATAAAAACTCAACACTTTATCCAACTCTACACTTCTCTAGGACCATGTAAATTTTTCCAAAGATTTCCAGTTTCCTCTTGAATCCTTCCTCATTCCTCACCAATGTGGGACCAACCAACCCACTTCCCTGCAAACCGGCATCACTGAAGACAGATGACTGGGGTTTCAGATCAACCAGCGGGGAAGCTGCATCAGTCCTCAGGGAGTGTCCCACACAGGCCCACGTTTTAAAGCTACAGTCCCTTCTTGGGATGCACAGCAGCAGAACGACTGGAATAGCTATAATTTAACTGCATTAGAGATCGTTCTCCTTCAAACCAAACCAAGCCTCTTCTCACTTTACATAGAAAGCATATGTGTGTCCGGGGGTGGGAAGTGAGAAGGTTTTCACTGCTTTAAGGAGCAAAATGGTTACTTAGTGTTTCCCGAGACGCTCACCGCCACAGGAACACGAGTTGCACTGCATCTGTCCCTTTTGGAAAGCAGAAAGGTGACGGCACCATTAACTATGTCTGATAAGTGCCTCTCCCAGGAGGGAAAACATAGAAATGCCTGAGGTTAGTAGTGATTGTTTTTCTCTGGCCAGGAACCGTTTCAGCAGTAATCTATGGATCCTGATATGGACCAGAACCAAGGGACCAGGACGCTTTGACATAATAGTGGTCCTCATCACGCAGAATTGCTAGGAGGGCTAATGAGAGACATTTGCAAGCTCTTGATGAGTGGTAATTATCACTTCTACCTAGCAAACCTCACCTGACATCCTAGGTGATCTCAGGAAATCTGTGTGTCTTCCATGCCTGATACTTACTAGGGACCTCCCTCTCGGTGGCCTCCTCTGCCTGTGGCTGGGTGTATTTTGGATGCCAGCCTCAGCAAGAGAAGAAACGATCCCTGCTCACAGCCCTGCCAAAGGGGCAGGCCTAGGTGACGGTGCCCACCAGTGGCTCTGGAGTGGACACACAGACTGAAGGGGCAGTCTACAGACGGGAAAGTCACTGCGGCCAATGAGATTCCCCTCTGGTGATCGGGACCCGGGAAAGGGAGAAACTGGGTTGACCGGCAGCAGAGACATAGAACCTGGCTGGTCCCATTAATGGCAGCACGCTCACGAAAAGGACAGCCTCCCCCTGCTGAGGCTCTCCAGGACGCACTGGGCCCAGGACCACCTCCCCACACAGCCTGGCTGCTCACGCGTTCTTCTAGTAGACACCACAAACATCTCTTCCAACAGCTTCAGAATAAACATGTCCCTTTTTCTGAGTTAGCTTGAGTGGGTTTCTGTTTCCTCCAACAGAAAGAGCCTTCGCTCACACAGCTCCGCCCCTTGGGAAGAACACGCAGATGGAGCCCTGGCTGAACATCCTGGGCACTTCCAGCGCAAGGCATCGCTTCAACCACCAGCCCCACGGGAGGCAACCCGCCTCACTCCTCCCTGGCTCCCTTCTACCGCAGACATCCAAAAAGTTAAAGCTCTCCCCATCCCGGCCTCCCCTGTAGCGAGGGGAGGTCATGTGAGATAGCTCTGGCCAAAGATTTGCAAGTGTCTGTCAGGACAGAGAGTAGCGTCCCTCCTGTGTTGCGTGAAAATGTCATGCTTGGAGCTGCTGCCACCATCTTGCAACCGCAAAGTGAAAGTCAGACAAGAGAGATTCCAGCCCTGGCACATTGGAGATGCTATGCCACTGGCAGCCCCCAAATAACAGATGCCTTGTTATGTGAGAAAAGTATATCCCTAAACTACCATTAGATTTTTCTATAACTTAGAAGCAAAATCTTCTTGAAATTATGTACTCTGAAATAGACCTTGATATTATTTCCTGTATTGTATGAAAAATGATTTTTTTTAACCCAAATTTATGACTAGCTTTTCAATTAGCTTCTCCATATATCAACTGAATGATAGCAGCTCTCCAGGTAATTAAAAATCTAAGAGGAGAGCCCTAGCCGGTTTGGCTCAGTGGAAAGAGCATCGGCCTATGGACTGAAGGGTCCTGGTTCAATTCCGATCAATGGCACGTACCTTGGTTGTAGGTTCCCCGGCCCTGGTTGAGGTGTATGCAGGAGGCAACCAATTGATGTGTCTCTCTCACATCGATGTTTCTTTCTGTCTCTGTCTCACCCTCTCCCTTCCACTCTCTCTAAAAAGAGATGGGAAAATGTCCTTGGGTGAGGATTAACAAAAAAACAAAACAAAACAAAACATTAAGAGGAGAGAAAAATATACATCACCAACTATGCTATAAGGCAGAAAGTGCACACGCTGTACTAGTAAGAGGCAGCTGCTCTCCATCTGGAGTAGGAGGAAGACATTACTGCTGATTGAGGGGGGTGAGGGGTGTCACAGAAGTCTCCACAGGAGGAGCATTTAAGTTAAATTCTAGAGAAAAAAAGAATTTGGGTGGATGGAGATGGGTAGGAAGGACATTAGAGGTAGAAGGAATCGGTTAAGTAAATATGGGAAACTGAAAGTCATGTGTAGGAAATAGTAAATTCCTTCAGGTTGCAGTAGGGGAACAAAGATCAGATTAAAAAGACCAATTTATAACAAGCCTTGAATGTCAAAAAAAGGGAGCCTGGGCTTTATTCTCCAGGTCATGTGCTGTTTAAAGGTTCTACGCAAACAAGGTCACAGTAGCTGTTTGGGAAAATCTACTTAATAGCCATATGTGGGGTGGATTGAGGAGGCAGGGGATGCTGCTAGGAGGCTATGCAGCTACCAGGACAGAGGCCATGAGGGTAGAAACAGGACAGTCAATGTGAGAATGGGGTGGGAAGGAGCAACAGACAGGAGAGAGAGCGCAGAAGTACAGGCTAGACAAGCCGACTGCAGTTGGATATGGGGTGAGAGTCACAGGAGGAACAAAGGAAGAAAATACTTTATTGTACAAAAGAGAAACAAAAACAGTACCTCTGGTGCTGAAGACAGGAATGGCTTTATGTAGATGTTGGAGTCATGCACCTTCAGGTCATGGTCCCCCAGTCCCCTGGTCACTCCGATAGTTGCCATCACTCGGGCCTGGGAGGAAAGCAGAGGGTCATGAGAAACACCCCCACGTACGAGCAGCGCAGCCACCATGGGCCCAGAGAGAAGCAATCCTTTCCCAATTCCTCTTGCCTCTTGCTGCTAACCAGTGTGGGTAGCTGTTTCCAAGGAAGGGCTCGCTCACCAAGATCACTTATGTCCTTAGCGAGTGGCTTTTCCACCAGTTATCTCAAGGTTGATGGGTGGCTGTTGTCTCTTTCCAGCTTTCTTTTGTAGAGACTGGAGGGAAGGGTGTCCAATAAACTAAACCCAATACACGTGTGATGTCTACAGCTACTAATCTCAGTTCCAACCAAATCCAACAGCATCCATCCATTTGTCCACCTGTCTGTCATACACCCACTCCACAAGTACTTGCGGAACACCAGCTATGTCTCTGGCACCGTAATAGGCACTAGTAAACGATGCAAAGAAGTCAGTGGCAGCTCCTATCCTCCCAAAGCTCATATTTTACACTTTATAGCTGGAGAAAATAAACCATTAGCAACGTGCAACCTTCCCTTTCTCCACAAATCCCCTCTGGGTGGATTAACAAGAGAGAATTACCACACAGAGGCCTCCAGGCTGAGACCCCACCACCCGTGCGCTTCTGGTTTTCCGAACACTTTAGGGAAGCAAGACTATTACTCTTAATGCCTACGCATTCAGCCTTCATACTGCCCAGGATGCCACAGATTTGATCTACCCAGACATTTAGTGCAGACACCATGCTGTGGGGGACAAATGTCTATGGACTCGTCCCTACTATAAAGGAACCTGGTAAGGGAGAGAAGAGGCACATGGCTAATGATATATAAAATATGGCCAATATGAAAAACATAAACAATGGGTGGTGTGAGTTCAGAGGAGCTAAGACTTCTGCTGAGAAGGTTCCATAGAGGTGGCACTAAATTTCTACGCAGAAGCACAGGCAGCATCCAGACGGGTAAACACAGAGGAATGAAGCTCATTCTGGGTGGAATGAAGCTCAATGCCCTAACTCTGGGTCATCAGTGATGTATCTGGTGTACGTTCAAAGCTCGGAGCTTGAATCCTCACTTCATTGCTCGGGTAATAAGAATAACTCATAAACGCTAAGAAATCTTACAATCTCACACATCACCATCACCTTCCTCCTAGTTTCCCCAAAAGGCTGTGGAGTTTGGAGCTGGTTTTAGATCAGAAGGTGGGCAAGTTTACATTAAACGTGGAAGTGAACGCATGACATGCTTTTCAAAGGCAGGAATCTCGGGGGGTAAAATGCAGACACTGATGTGAAGCTGGGCCCTCTGGTCTCGGCACCTGGCTTCAATGTCTCTGTCTGCAGGAAGACTGCAGTGACTCAGGTGTTTGTCCTGATTGGGAACTGGCTTCAGAGCCTCATCTTCGCTCCAGGTCGGGGAGCCATGTCTCTGCAGAAACCCTCTGCTCTGCCAAGGGGGGGGGAGGGGGAAGAGGCCAGCCCCCTCCCAGCTGGTAAGTGTTCAACTCGAGATGCGGAAACCACGTCCCTGCTCTTCTCCCTGCACTGGCACCTCCTCTGGCTGCAGAAAGCACAGGTGGGCGTGTTGGTCCAAAACACAGTGATGTTTCTGATAGTTACTGAATTAGTTTACAAAGTATATAGTGTCACCCCACAAGGCTGAAAGCACTGGCAGAAATAAAATGAAAGGTGACAGCTGTGGTATTCTATTCGGAAATTCCGGGGCAGGCATATGCAGAGGGAAGCGCCTAAAGGATGGGATGGCACGGACGAATGGATGGACGGAAGGACGGATGCGCTGCCGGTGAAGTTGCCTCGGGCTGCCTGGGTGCGGAGCAGCTGGGCGACGGAGCCATGCAGCCTTTAAATAGGTCACAGCTCCTGCGACAGCACCGGCCAGCTGCACATCACAGGGCTGCCGAGCCCCAATTACCTGACACGCTGGAGAAGTGCGATGTCCTGGTAAACTGAACTTTCCCTTGACTGGGAAAACCTTGCTCCTTTAAATCTTTCTGTTGATAATCTTCGAAGAGCACATTTGTCCATTTTCGTTATGTGGAGGACGTACACTGAACATAAGGGAGTGGCTGACTCAATCCTCATGCAGTTGCTGAAGGCCTGCCCTGTGTCAGGTGCCAGGCTTGACAGGGACTAGGGATACAGCCCTCAGAGGGTGTGGCCCTGAGCCCCCTGGTCTCACTGGCGCCGCAGGAGACACAGAGAATCTCAGCCCACGGGGAACTCCAGGTGCCGCTGGGGCACTGGGCTGAGTGATCGCATTAATGGTACCCAGGGTGCGGAAAGGTTCCAGTACTTCTCTCGGGAACAGAGCTCTGCCTTTCACCATCCTCAACCATGGACCGTGAGGTGGGTGTCCCGTCTCCAGGAAAGGGGCAAGTTCATTTGAAAAGTGGTCGCTACATGGATCAGTCATGTTTCACTTCCCTCCATGAAATGCCTTCCCATGAAATCACCGCTGGGCTCCACGCAGCTCTCAAATCTAACTGACTCATTCTCTCTCCCTCTCTCACAGATGTACAGATGCACACACACACACACACACACACACAGAGTTCTGCTCAGGAAGACATCCTCCAGTTTTCTTATGAGTCAGTTCCTCCCGCTAAAAACTATCAAATGCTGGGAAAATGTCAGTTGAACATTCTTCTGAAAGTGGCCACATTCTTCACTCCTCACTGGCACTCTCAGCACCTGGCTGGGACGTTTCTGTTTGCAGGAAGAATGCAGTGACTCAGAAGGTGTTTGTTCTGATTGGGAACTGGCTTCAGAGCCTCCTCATCTCCGCTCCAGGACGGCAGCCTCCCCCAGGCTCTGCGCACAGACCCTCTGAGATGACAGCTTCCTGCTGCTCAGCGTGCGGTGCTGACGGGGGCTGGGTGCGGCTGAGGAATGCTCTGTGCTGTCCCAGCATGCGCTCGGGTCCCTGTGGTCCTACAGCTTCGTCACAGTAAGGCTCTGGGTGCCCTCCCACAGGCCACGTGGAGAAGCAGACTTGCAGGTGGGGTGTGAGCACGAGGAGGAGGCAGAGGGCCCTGGATCCGCATCGGGGACCACCCCTTACAGCTGCATGGCTGTGCCTGAGCGGTTCTAACCTCGAGTCTCAGCTGCCTCGTCCGCCAGCTCTGCCTGCCTGTGGCTTGTCAGATGCACGATGCGCTGATGTATGTGAAAGTGGTCATGTTGCACACAGTAAAGGGGGCCTGCTATTTCCACAAAACTTGGCTCCCCCCCCCTGAGCTCGCCGCACCCCTCCCAAACCTGCCACTCCTGGGGCCCTGAGGACAGGAGGCCTGAAGGACACGGGAGGTGACTCTCTCAGCTGTCAGGGCCGTAGGACCAGGCACTGCAGAGTGGAACGCACAGGCCGCCCCGACTCTGCAGAGACGGCCTTGTTCTCCGTCTGGGGGAGGTGATGCCTACCTTCTTGCCTTCTCCGTATATTAGAGGAAACTTCAAGTCATCATCCTCAATGGTTTTGTATGCCCTGTAGGGGGATAAACAACATTCTTTAACAGGTTTGCATTCAATTAGGGATCCGCTCCCCTGACACGGCTGCTCGGTGCTTTCTTTTCCCTGAGACTCCATCCGCTCAGCACACTGCCAATCTCTTTCTTTATAGAGTTACTCTCCCTACAGAATTGTGTGTGTGTGCACATATGTTAATGAACCAGAAAATAAGGTTTTATATGCTTGAAGAGGGAAAAACTAAGTTGGCCCATTCATAATGAGCAAGAAGGGGAGGTGGGTTCCTGTCCTGAGCACGTGGTGCCATGGGATAATGAAGCGCCCAGCATCGTGACAGGGCCGTGTCATTAACCTGAAACTGTGCGAAACAGCGGAGCTCTGACATGGATGGAGAGTGAAAATGCGCCAAGAGCCAGTTCTCACCTTCGGGGGTTGTTTACACCAAAGCAGCCTGGTGTGGGGATGGCTGGAGAAGGGATATTTAGAGCCTGCTTGACCTCCGTGTGATATTCAAGGTTGGCAGAAAATTCTGTTTCACAATAGCTATTAAATGGCCATTCGACACACAGAAAATCCGGTTTATGCTTCAATGGTTTCAGACATGGTTGTCCAGATGCCATGCACACACGGCGGAGGCCAGGGCTGGGGAGCAAATGAAGCCCGTGTCTTGCAATTTTGCTCATAAGGAATTTTAAAAACAAGCCAACAAACATGGCACCCGATTACCACCTGCGCCCTGGGCAAGTGGCTTCACCTGTGTTGGTCTCGGTTTCCTCATCTAGAAAACGAGGGTAATCACGCAGGATGTAAACAGCTTAGGTCAGAGCCTGGCACTCAGTAAGTACCCAATTAGTGAGCTATTACTAATATTTAGGACATCATTGATACTTGGCACACCAGTTCCCCTTTCTTCAAAATGGGGATGACACTGCCTACTCACCACCTCAAAGAAATATTAGGAAGACGAAGTAGAGGCTGGGGTGGGTTCTACTAGGTTAGGTTCTATAAGCAAGATGCTTTTCTAAAATAACGTCTCCTGCCCTAGCCAGTCTGGCTCAGTGAATAGAGTGTCGGCCTGCAGACTGACGAGTCGTGGGTTGGATTCTGGTCAAGGGCACATGCCTGGGTTGCAGGCTCGATCTCTCATGGCGGGTGTGTAGGAGGCAGCCGATCAATGATTCTCTCTCATCATTGACGTTTCTATGTCTCTCTCCCTCTCCCTTCCTCTCTGAAATAAAAAATATATTTAAAAATAAAAAATAAAATAAAGTAACGTCTCCTGAGGGCATGAAAAGAACTAAATTGCAAAATAGCCTCCCAGTCCCGATATATCGAGGCAAGTTGGGAGTGAACCTCTCAATATACAAAAAGAATGCAACCCAATTTAAAAGCGCAACTCCAAAGCTAAAGCAGGAAGTTACTTAGTGAACATGCTCCTCCCCAGGGGCTAGGGTGAGCTCAGGTTCAGCACTGCTCTCTGTGCAGCCCTGGGCAGGTAGATGAGCCTCTCTGGACCTCAGGATCCTCATGATCACAGGGCAAAAATGGGCTCTAAAACGGGCTTGTGAGGCTTCCAATGGGCCAGCGAATGTGACGAGCTTAGGGTGCATTCCACACAGTGCCTGGCACAGCTGAGACCTGGCACGGGCTGGGGCTGTTGTCAGGTGAGCCCAGAGGTGCTCTAGAATTGGACTGTCAACATCAGAGCCTCCCGCCCCCAAATCTATCAAATTTCCCCAAAGGGGAAACAGCTCCTTAAATGTTTTCATACTCACAGGAACTATTTAAAACACTATAGTATACAAGTCATTGGGGAACAAGCAGCTATTATTAGAACACAGACTCAGCTTGGGGTTGAGTGGGTCTGTAGACCAGTGGGTCTACTGCAGGTTCAGTCACCGGGGAGGGCTTTAAAGCATCCCTTTGCCCAGGTCACACCGCAGAGCAATGAAGTCTGAACCTGTGGGGGTGGGAACCAGGCACCGGGAACTTCTCTAGGCTTCCCAGATGAGTCCAATGAGCAGCCAAGGTTGAGAGTTACTGCAGTAGACTAAGTGTCATTAGGGAACATTGAAATGCAGCTGAGCGACAGCCCCCTGGCAGCTTGACCCACAAGATGACAGACGCTATGACTCAGGGGACACGGGGGAAATGGCCTAAGAAAGGCTCTGAAATGAGCATAAGCTGGACGTGGGGACCATGGAGGAAGAGGTGTGGAGAGTGAGAAGACAGGCTCAGACGGGTGGGGACAGCACCGGGAAAGGGGCTAGGCCAGGGGTCCAGGCACAGGAGCCTGAAATTCAATGGGAGGCAGAAGGCAGCAGCTTGAGAATCAATGACTGGAAATTACTTAGTGCTCCGGAAAGACAGGCTAAGAGCACTCTTCACAGGTGTGGAAAGGCAGCAAGAAAACGGTTCACTGACTCCACCACAAGCCCAGGGAGTCGAATTCTCCAGGGCCCAGAATTCCAGGAGCATGAGGTCTGCGTTAACCATCGCTCTGAAAGACAGACATTGATCTTGGAATTGTCACCCGCAGGATCAAAACAATTGTAAGTTCTAATATTGTATTTTAGCTTCTGTTTCTTTATCTTCAAGAACAAAACAATCCCACTAAAAATAGAAGAGAACTCTGGATAAGGAAGGGTTATTCTGTTTCTGCCATTGTTGGTTTTCAATCAAATGTGAGCCCTCCCCTACAGATGACCAAGGTGAACAGCTATAGATAAAGAGAGAAAGTACAATACCCTCCCCCTCAATCTTTCGGGGTCCTAAGCACAGTTCATCATGAAGGTAGCTGGACTTCCCTCCATACTTAAGGTCTTGAATAATAAAGAACAAAAGGCTCGAGAGTTAAAACTGGTAACTTGATAGAAGGGTCTGTATAAATGAAGGCCCACTAACAGTGCCAGCAGCTATGAGTTACTGAGCACCTCTCCATGCCGAGCACTGAGCGTGGTGCTTGCTTACTGTGCCTAAAACCGCTCAAAGACTGAATGTTTCACTTAGCATGATACTCTCCAGGGCCCTCCATGCTGCCTCAAAGGGTAAGAGATCCTTCTTTTTCACAGCTGCAAGTATTCCATGGTGTAAATGTACCACAGCTTTTTTATCCACTCATGTGCTGATGGGCGCTTGGGCTGTTTCCAGATCTTCGCTATTGTAACTTGTGCTGCTATGAACACAGGGGTACATACATTCTCTCTGATTGGTGTTTCAGGTCTCTTAGGCTATATTCCTAGAAGTGGGATCACTGGGTCAAATGGCAGATCCACATTTAATGTTTTGAGGAAACCTCATACTGTATAAGTCAGTGAGAGGAAGACAAGTATCACCTGACTGCACTCGTGTGGAATTTAAGAAACAAAATAAACTGATGAATGGAGTGGACCCAGGGACATGGAAGCGTGGAACAGAGTGCGGAGTCTCAGAGGGAAGGCGGGGGAGGGTGGGTGGTAGGTAATCAACCAAAGACCTTGAATGCATAACCCATGGACACAGACAATGGGGTGCTGAAGGCCTCGGGCGGGGTGAGGGGACAGGGGCGGGCTGGAGGGGGTCAATGGGGGAAGAAAGGGGGCATATGTAATACTTTCAACAATAATTATTAAAAAAAATAATAAAAGTACGTAAAGACCTTGTACACAAGGGGACTGAACGTTGAGTTACTCTCCCCAGATCACACACGTTAGTGACCCTCAGGCTAAACTAGACTTTCCCAGAAAACACACCAAAGAGATGTGATGTCAGGGCTCAGCTCTGGGGATTTCTTATTCTAGTTGGAGAGACTCAAGGAGACCATTGTTGTCCACTTCTCAGTGGGTGAACAGCAGGCATTTGATGAAGGGGGACTTTGGGCAAAAGAGGAAGGTGAATTTTCTGTATGAGGTAAAAGAACAAAAGGTGACCACGTGTGGACAAAACTAGCAGCTGCTGCACTACACAGTCCACAAGGGAAAACAGAAAAGGCGGGGCTGCAGCCCAGGTCACCGCGTCTGCGGTCAGAGTCCGGGGGAGCCTCTCCCACAGACAGCAGGCTCCTCAGGTCTGTTCTCGCAGCTTAAGGGCCACCCCACTTTCTGCCCACCTGAAAGGCCTGCCTGCTGTTCAAACTTCATTACGGTCCACGTCTGGGCTGTGGGCCTGAATCTACGTGTCCAGCTCGGCCGTGGCTTCCATCCTTCTCAACCGGGGGAGGCGAGACAATCAGGACAGAGGCTTGAAGCCTGAGACCTCCAGGACATGGAGGCACTCATGACCGAAGATTAATGAAAAATGACTCTTCTTTCACATCAGATCCTATGATTTCTGAAATCCTGATTAAATTTTTAAAAATAACTCCCAAAACGGATTACTCACTAGTTTTACAATAGTGTAACTGGGCAGAGATCATATTCAAATAATTACTTGAAGCGTAGCTGAAAGGCTTAGAAAGATTTTTAGAATAACTCTTATTTTGGGTCAATTCCTCTATGAATATTTATGAGGCCAACTGACAAAAAGATGAGATGAGAAAAAAAATTCAAGGCTTAAAAAAGGGCCAAATTAAAGGGCTTTCTCTAACACAGGGCAGTATCCTCAGAAGATTGCACTAAACATCGTTTTTAAGCAATCGTTTCCCTCGCCATGTGGATTCTGCAAAGCTGAAAAGACAAGGCACCAGCTGTGTTGGACCCACCGAAAGGCAAAGCACCGGGAGAGACAGGAAGACCACTAGGTGCCCCAGATGCAGGAAGTCTCCCGTCAGCACAGCTCATACCATCCCTGGCCTCTGCCATCAGGTGGGATGTTATAGACAGTCATTGTCCTAGGACAGTGGTCGGTAAACCGCAGCTCTCGAGCCACATGTGGCTCTTTGGCCCCGTGGCATGGGCCACGAAGTTTCAATCGCACTGTACGTGCGCGCCCGCACGTGGTATTTTGTGGAAGAGCCACACTCAAGGGGCCAGTTTGCCGACCACTGTCCTAGGACCTTCATAACACCTAATGCCCACTCCACGGAAGGACGTCCCCAGTCAA